CTTCTGTTCTGGGTTTTGCCTCAATGGGTGGCAATGTTGTTACTGACCTGGGTTAATTTCAGGCTGGTTTCACGACTGCGGGGGTTTAGTGCAAGCAATTGACTTACCTCAGATTCTGGATGACACATTCCTATATCCATAGCATTAGGCCACCCTGTGAGTTCCTAGAGTCAAATGCTAGATCAGACAGTATGATCCTCATCTTACCTTCACGAGGATGTCGGTACCCAGCGAGTGAGGTTTTGGATGTAGTTGACTTACCACGTATGGTCCATCATGCCCTAGCCACTCTAAGACATGGAACACATTGTTATTTGCCCACTTTTCATTGTGCAGTTAAGAGATACCTGGCTCAGATGTGATAATCCTCAGATAATCTGTTCCTCCCATATCGGGGGTGTCCTCCGGATGCTTTCAAGGGATATGCCTGTGCTTCCCTCGCACCACTCCCTCCACCATTTCATGTGAGCGGAGGGTGAGTACCTTATCGGAAGTTATATTTTCCTAAATGTAAATGTATTTCTGATATGTACTTCCCTCCAATCACACCTCCCACCTGTGCTCCCCACAATCTTCCAGTGCTCGTGTCTTCTGCCAAACTTTGAAGTGATAGTTCGGTAGAGGGAGTCCCATGCGTCATGTGATAGTAGTGCGCTCCTATTGATGGAGAGGTGACACATGATGATTTGCATGATAGATGTGCTGGAACTTTGAACAGGGAGGTGATGAAGGCTTGGAGCATGTGCTTCTGTAAAAATTTGCATACAGAGGACAGCACAAAGTGAGAAAATATAATCTTGTGAGTGAAGGGAAGTATCTATAGGAAACACATTTTCATTTAGAAAAGTTATACCTTTTATTCTTTCAGTGTTGATGTATGAATAATTGACTTCTGATGGTATTGAAGATGTATTGTGTTTAGGTATCACACATTCTACCTTGCAAACTAAACGATTTATAACAAATTGCTGAATTGTTAGGAATCTTTTAACATGTATACAGTCAGTTATGGACATAATGTCTTTGCATAACCAGCAGGATAACTATATGTATGGTGCTTTTGGATAAATACAATATAACATATGAAATATTTTGTTGTACCTACATTGGTACTCATAAAAAAGAAAAAGAAAATTGAATTGACATTTGCCTGTGGTTTGTTGTTTTATGGAAATATTTGTGAAAGTACAGAGAACAAAACAGTTCTTTTGTTGTTTTTATTGTAGATGTTACTTAATTGTTACTGTTTTTTTAGATGTTACTTCTTTAATAAATTAATTTACCAGTTTGTTTTTCTTTATATGAGTATAATCTTGACAATGTAACATTAAAATATTCAGCTTGTAATTGTCCTAAATTAATCATGATTTCATTAGTCGATGGGCACAAAGGGGCTAGAAAAAAAAAACCAAGTCCTCAATGCTTTAAATATACCATTAAAATAGCACACAATCCAGTGGCTCATCAATATGTCTGTGGACTTGCAACACTAAAAACCAAGTTTTGATACTTGTTATGGGTACAGCACAAATAGGTAATTGTGAATTTTGTGCTTAACCTCAAATAATCAAACTAACAATAAAATGGCATTATTTTATATTCATGTATATATATGGTTGTTCTTGACTCTAAGAATTTTGGGAAGTTCTGTACATGTAATTATATTACTGGTGATGGTAAAGAGATTATTATGGGTGCAAAATAGAAAAGAATTGTAAAGTTTCAATAAAGATCAGCTTGTTGGATGCAGTCTATATGGCTTGCCAGTTTTGTTTTACATGTGAACTATCTTTCAGTTTGTAGTTTCTTCTGTTTGAAATGATATGAAAGACAGATATGGGAAGTGAACTAATTATTGATGAAAGTTTTGCGTATTAGTAAAGTATATTCATTTTATAGTAAAATGTTCTAAATATTGCTGAGGTAGGCATAAGGACAAGAAATGACAAAGTATGAAGTAGTTTGTATCCATATGCTCTACAAATGTAAAGCATGTATCAATTAGCTCAGAATGCATGGCACATTTTAAAAAAAAGGTGTACAACAGGCTAACAAATCATTAAGTTTAGCTGTAATGTGACAAATGTGAAAAGCTGTCACACTTAAGAAAAGTGATGAAGTGTGCATTACAAATTTGTTTCGTCATATATTTCAAGTTTGTTATAGACTATATTTACATCATTAGAAAGCATTTATAATGCTCACTTTCAATATTTTGGGTTTATCTGTTGATATTTAATACTTAATTTGGATTTTTTAGTCTAGATGTTATTTGCACTTTATGTATCATGAATTTGTACTTAATTAACACTTAGTTTGTTGATATCCTTATAATATTACCATTACATATATCTTATATTGTATTTGACCAGGTTTGTTCTTCTAACTTAACTGTAGAATATTTGGGACATTCTAGAAATAAACCTTTTCTATTTTTTAAAGTGTTGTAATTGTTTGGGTGGAGTTTTCCTTTCTATTCTACAAGTATATTGATGTGTAATTAAAATATAATAAATATTGAATTGTTTTGCCTTTTTCACAATGTTCGTTGTACTGTAAGTTTTTAAATTTTCTGATGATTTACAGTTATTAATTCAGGAATTTTTGAAGGCTTGAAAATATGTGTATAACAGGATAAAATCTTGCTTTTGTTGATAATGTTGTTACATGGTAAAGATATTTTAATGTAGATGATGGATAATGTACTACTGATTTGTGTGTGTTGATAAAACAATGTGGAGTGAACTGTTGTCACTAATTTTACAATAGTGAAACCATCATACAAGTTTTAATGTTAATTTTTTGTTAGAGAAACTCATTTAAGAGATTATACAGTATTGTACCCAATCCAATCTAAGACATTGACTATGACAAGTTATCATGTATGAATAGGGTTCAATAGCTTTTAACCATAGTTTGTAAAAAATGTTGAAATTTTGTAGACTTAAGTCTATTAATAATAATAGAATAAGTTAAATGGTATTAAAAATTTAATTTTGAATTGTTATTAACATCTTCTCTTGTAAATTGAAAAAATATTGTTATGTCTCTGTTCGTTTGTTAATTTTCCGTAGAAATTCTTTCCCAGAAACTTCAGTGATACAAGTCCTTTCTTAAATAAAACTAGTTTATTCTTTCTCAATACAACTTTGCAATACACTTAATTTCCACAGTCACTTTCACTTTAACACACGCTATAATTCACAACAAACGATTCACGCACTTTACTTACTACGGTGCTTGACTCAATTGTCTGTCTATATCTTCAATCTCTGTGTCTGCTATTCCGTTCTGATTGATTGTCGAGCTTATATATTAGAATACAGCACATCTAGCAAACACTCGAGCATTCATGAACCTTCGAGATACTCATTACGTGTTACCAGCATCACGTGACTTCTGCTGACGTAACAATATTAATTCTTAACACCACAATAAAAAATTTAACATTATCTTAATATTAATGGTTTTAAATTTATGGATATTTTTAATAGTACAATTATCTTATTTTAGAGTTATAATGGTTTTTGTTCTTTTTTTTTCAACTTTGTTCAAGAGTGAAAAAGATGCTATTTTCCTCTCCAAAACATCTTTTTTTTATTTGTATATGTTCTGGATAATTTTTTTTGTTACACTTACTTTGAATGTTTTCCTCAATACAAGGAAAAAACCATAATGTGCTGATCTTGTACTATATATATTGCAGTACCTTTCTATTTGATTTAAAATAATGCTTTTACCTTTTCTATTGATACTAATAGAATTAATACTAATAATCCTAATTTCAGTAGAAGCCCCATGTGTT